AAAAAAAAAAATAGACAACGAAGTAGTGCATGGTAAAGATGAGTGATGTGACGACGCAATAAAAGCTCAATTTCAACATCCATAAAAATCTGCCAAAAGAAAATAAAAGCTCAAAAAATGAAAAGACAATCAAATATTTACCTCGGGATGTATATCTTGATAAACTTTGTAATGGTTGAGAACATTTATCAAATATCTCAAAACATATTTACTATTTGTTGGAGATCTAACAAATATGGCATAATCAGCATTGTCTTCTCTGTTAGTCTCAGGTAAGCAAAAATGCTTCCGACACAAACGAACACTTTTAGGATGAAAGAAGAAGATTATGAACAACTCAATGTATTGAGTATTAAGTTTTTCTGTGTGTTTACAAATGAAAAAACTGCATCCCTATTTATAAGAACTAAAAACAACTATTCTAGTGGCTTTCCTAGAAATTTCTTGAGCTGAAAAATCAGCCTTAAATGGCTGCTATGAAAGTGCCATGAAAGTGCAATGAAAGTGAAATGAAAGTGCAAGGAAGTTGCACTTTACTAACAAGGAAACTGCAGGATTATATCTTACAATTCTTCCCCTAATCCTGCTGCTCTTTCTTGTTTCCCACCATTCCAATCTTGATCTTCAGCTCCATGAACCGAAGACGGCCGAGTGGCTTGGTAAGGATGTCTGCGAGCTGCCGTCCGGATTCGACAAACTCTAAAACAATCTGTCCTTCATCGATACAATCACGGATGAAGTGAAAACGAGTATCGATGTGCTTGCTCCGGTCATGGAGGACTGGATTTTTTGCAAGGGAAATGGCAGGCTGGTTGTCTACCATCAGAGTTGGTGCACGAGCTTCCTCGCCGGTCAGTTCGCCCAGCAACCGACGCAGCCAGACCGCCTGACATGCCGCTGTGGCTGCCGCCACGTACTCCGCCTCGCACGTAGACAACGCCACAATCTTCTGTTTCAACGGCTGCCATGAGATTGGGGCCGATCCAAGGAAGACGAGCACACCAGAGGTGCTCTTCCGCCCATCAATGTCGCCTGCCATGTCTGCATCGCTGAAAGCCGTGAGTCGCAACTCACTTCTGTCGCCGGTCTTGGGAAAAATAATGCCCTGATCCACCGTCCCCTTGACATAGCGCAACAACCGTTTTACTGCAACCCAATGATCCTCTCGAGGGTCCTCCATGAAGCGGCTGACATAGCCCACGGCGAATGCGATATCTGGTCTCGTGTGGACTAGGTAGCGCAGCCCGCCGACGATACTCCGGTAGAGTGTTGCATCCACCTTCGCCGCGGTGCTGGCTTTCGTCAGCTTCAGTCGCTCCTCCATCGGAGTCGCGCATGACTTGCAATCAGCCATGCCGCTCCGCTCCAACAGCTTCCCCGCATACGCACGCTGGCAGAGAGTAATGGAGTCTCTCCCCTGCTTCACCTCGATGCCGAGGTAGTAGGAGAGCTGCCCGAGATCGCTCATGCGGAAACGAGCTGCCATCTCGCGCTTGAAGCCGTTGATGTCCCCTTCTCTTGCCCCGGTGATAATGAAGTCATCCACATACACGCCGACGACGAGCTCTTCCTTCCCCCGTCGTCGCGTGTAGAGCGCGTGTTCTGTCGCGCAACGCGTGAACCCAAGCGTAACCAGGGTGGCATCGAGTTTGGCATTCCACGCTCGTGGGGCTTGACGCAGCCCATAGAGTGCCTTCCGCAGCCGCAACACCTTGTGCTCCTCTCCCTTAACGACGAAGCCCGGGGCTTGCTTGACGTAGACAGTCTCCGCTAGCTCGCCGTTGAGGAAGGCCGATTTCACGTCTAGGTGATGAATGCGCCAGTTTTTCGCTGCCGCCATGGCCAACAGTAGGCGAACTGACTCCATGCGCGCCACTGGTGCAAAAACTTCCTCAAAGTCAATGCCCTCACGCTGGACGAAACCGCGAGCAACGAGGCGCGCCTTGTGCTTGACTATGGCGCCACACTCGTCCCGCTTGACCTTGTAGACCCATTTGAGCCCGATTGGATGACAGCCTGGAGGTGGATCGACGAGCTCCCACGTCTCATTTTCTTCGATCGCCTTCATCTCCTCTAGCATAGCTCGTCTCCAACTGACATCGCGCTCGGCCTGCGCGAAAGTCGATGGCTCCTCTGCGCTGACGAAGAGCAGCTCCTGATCGTCGAGTAATCGACTTGCCAATCCTGGTACAATCGAGTTGCCAACGAGGTTGTCCATCCTGCGAAACCTCACCTCCTCACCGTCGTGGAAGGCATCCACATACTCGTCGATGTCGCTTGGAGGAGAGGTGAACTCAACTGTCGTCACTGGAGGTGTCCCCTGTCCTGCCGCAGCAGGGGACTGTGGTGGGGGCGTGTGTGCAGCTGCTGGTGGAGACTCTTCGCCCGTGCCCATGGCCGGACTTTGCGGCTCAACTGACGCAACCACAGTTGCTGGACTTGGCGCGTCCGCAGCTGGCTCCTCTGATCCCGCATCTCCTCCTCCGTGGATCACCAAATGCTCGATGACAAACGTACCGCCGACGCCACGGGCTTCCCCCGTGTCAGGATTCTCCCAATCCCAGGCTGCCATTTCGTCGAACACCACATCTCGCGAGACCACCACCTTGCCTCCACGTGGATCGTAGAGCCGATAGGCCTTGCTCCCCTCCTCGTAGCCTAAGAACACCATCGGTGTGCTCCTATCCTCAAGCTTGGACAGGAAGGGCTTCGTCTTCTTCACATGGCCAATGCACCCGAACGTCCTCAGAAACGAGACGTCTGGCTGCCTGCCATGCCAAGCTTCGAATGGTGTCATGCCCTTCAGCGCCTTCGTGGGCGCACGGTTGAGGATGAACACCGCCGTGCTCACGGCCTCTCCCCAGAACTCCGCTGGCATGCCCTTTGCCTTCATCATACTTCGGGCCATGCCCACCACGGTCTGATTCCGCCGCTCCACTACACCGTTCTGTTGCGGTGAGTACGGCGCAGTGTGATGGCGAACCACCCTCTGGTTTGCACAATACGCGGCGAATTCCACCGATGTGAACTCACCACCGCGATCCGTCCTAAGCACGCGCAGCCGCTTTCCGGACTCTGCCTCAGCCCGCGCCTGGAACCTCTTGATTGCCTCCGCCGCCTGATCCTTACTCGTCAGGAGTTGCAGCCACATGAAACGGCTACAGTCGTCCACGAGAAGCAAGAAGTAGCGTCGTCCGCCATGCGTAGCCGGCGTGATCGGCCCGCAAAGGTCGCCGTGGACGAGCTCGAGGACGTCCGCTGCACGATACTTGACCGCCTTTGGAAAAGGCAGCCGCCTCTGCTTCCCTGCCAGGCAGCTATCGCACAGCTCGCCTACGTGCTCAATGTGCGGGAGCCCGCGCACCATCTTCCTCAGTCGACCGAGTGCGTCGAAGCTCAAATGGCCGAACCGAGCATGCCATAGCCATGGCTTCTCAGTGTGCCGTACTGCCAAGCACACCGGTTGCTCCACTTTCAAGTCGAGGAGGTAGAGGCGGTTCCGAGAACGCTGGACTTTAGCCAGCAGCTGCTGTTCTCGGTCCTGGAGCTTTAGCACGCCGCCTTTGACAAGCACCTCGCAGCCGTGCTCGTCCAGTTGCTCGATGCTGATGATGCTTGAACGCAACTGCGGGATATAGTACACATCCGTCAATGCGCGGTGCTCGTCGTTCTGGCACCGGAAGATGACAGTGCCACGACCTCGAATTTCCACCTTCGAGCCGTCGCCGAACTTCACCGTCCCCGTCACGCCGTCATCAAGCTCGGAGAAGGCCTCCTTGGAGCCGGTCATGTGGTTGCTAGCGCCAGAGTCCAGGTACCACCTCTGCTCCATGCCACCGCCCATTCGTCCAAGGTGGACTTGAGCACTCGACTCGTCGAGGTGAACTGCCTGCAGTGCCTTTCCCTGCTCCGCAGCCACTGCCTTGACTTTCTCTAACTCTGGCTCGACGTCGTGCGACGTGCAGAACTTCGCCATGAGAAGAGATGGCTCCTCATCGTCCACCTGCGCGAGGTGCGCCTCCTTTTTCTCCTTGAGAATCTTGCAATCTCGGGCCCAGTGCCCAGTCTTCCCGCAGCGTCGACAAGTGTCTTTGTCGATCGGACGCGCGTTGTTGTCGTCCTTCTTCTGCGGGGCCTTGCCACGGCGCTTGCCGTAGCCGCCACGGCTGGAGGAGCCTTCCCCGGGTCGCCGCTCGCGCATACGAGCTGCCCATTCTTCCTCGGTCAGTAGTAACTTGCCGCTGGTAGATATCGTCGCCGTCTCCACGCGGTCATCCACTGCCCGCAAGCGCCCAGTCACATCCTCAATCGTGAGGGTGGACATGTCGATCAACGTCTCGATGGAGAGCGCTATCTGGGCATACTTAGGCGGCACGACGCGCAAGTATTTTGCGACCGCCTCCTCGTCGGTGATGGTGACGCCGTGCGCCGCCAGCTGACTGACGAGCGACTGCAAACGGAGCGAGAAATCCTCCACTGCCTCGCCGTCGCGGAATGCCAGCGCCTCGTACTCCCGCCGCAACTGCTGCGCCTTTGCCTTCTTTGCGCGATCAGACCCGATGCGCATGGCCTTGAGGGCGTCCCAAGCAGCCTTTGCGGAGTCCTTTGCGCCCAACGACTCCACGTACTCGTGAGGCACAGCGGACAGAATCGCTTCCATCGCTGCGCAGTCCTCTTCTTCATCCTCGGTGCCTTCCTCGATGGCCCGCCAAAGCTTGCGCGCACGCAACTTGACCTTCATCAGCACCGCCCATTCGCCGTAGTTTGTGCGTGTGAGGACCGGCCAGTTGGCCCCGCCAACATCCCGCACGGTCCTGTGGATGATGACCTCTTGGCATGGTGAAGCGTATGCTCCGCTCCCTTGCACCATCGACGCAACATCTTGGCTTGCCATGGCTCTGATGCCACTTGTTAGTCTCAGGTAAGCAAAAATGCTTCCGGCACAAACGAACACTTTTAGGATGAAAGAAGAAGATTATGAACAACTCAATGTATTGAGTATTAAGTTTTTCTGTGTGTTTACAAATGAAAAAACTGCATCCCTATTTATAAGAACTAAAAACAACTATTCTAGTGTCTTTCCTAGAAATTTCTTGAGCTGAAAAATCAGCCTTAAATGGCTGCTATAAAAGTGCCATGAAAGTGCAATGAAAGTGAAATGAAAGTGCAAGGAAGTTGCACTTTACTAACAAGGAAACTGCAGGATTATATCTTACATTCTCGAGATAACTCTTTCAAAATTTTATTCGATTCCCACAATTTTGCATTATTTTCATTAACTATTATGTCGATGGCGTACAAGGGACACAGTAGCCTTTTAACTAGTTCACTGAATTTGAACAAGAAACACGTTATTCTACAGTTCAGAAGAACGGAAAATCGATTAAAGAGTCAAATGTTATAACCGACGTATGACAAAAAAAATATAATTACGAAAATAATCAATGACATAACAATTGATGACAAGTGAGAGTCTAAAGTTCATTTGAAGGATAGACAAACATAAAACATTGATTGACTACCAGAAAAAAATAAGGATTTTATCTTCTCATCCAGTGAATATTCATCTTCATCTTCGCTTGTTCTATTCGTCAATGTTGCATCAATCTACGTACCAACTTCACGGGTATCCAATGACAGTATATACAATCTCTCTAAGATCATTAACATCCCACGATTGTATGTTTCCCGTTTTCCTTGCATGATATAATGAAATATACACTTTCTGCACATGACTTGATTTTTCCTTATGAATAACAGATAAAAATACCCCATGCAATTAAGCCCAAACAAAAGAGAATGAAACTGGATAAAACTCACAGGCCTCTAATTAGGGCTGTAAACGAGCCGAGCCGAGCTCGAGCTTAAGGTGTTTGAGCTCGAGCTCGAGCTCTTAACGAGCCGAGCCGAGCCGAGCCGAGCTCGGCTCGTTGAGCAAACGAGCCAAAAATCGAGCTCGAGCTCGGCTCGTTAAGGCCTCGAGCTCGAGTTCGGCTCGTTAAGGCCTCGAGCTCGAGCCTTAACGAGCCGATCTCGAGTTTTAACGAGCCGAACTATATAAAATTACATAAATTTCACTTTTCGAGCCTTAACGAGCCTTATAGAGCCGACTAGCTTTAAATGAGCTCGAGCTCAGCTCGTTAAGGCTTCAAACTCGAGCTTAACCGAGCCTTAACGAGGCAAGCCGAGCCAGGCTCGTTTAATTTAACAGCACCATCTCTAATAACACCGCTGCAACAACATAACAAATAATAAACAAAGTTTTAGTAGATGAAATATCAATTTAAACGGTAAATTTATGAAACTAAAAACAAAGTAAAATGCTTACCAAAAAAAAATGTTTTAAGTCTACCTTAATAAATTTCCACCACTCTATCTATGCCTGGTTTTTCACATTTTGACGAAAAACTTGGCATCGCTCCTCTAGCCAAGTGGCAAAAATTAATACATTGCTTGACAACAAAGTCGAACACGACAATATCAGCTCTATTTTTCTTTATCGTAAGGGTAAAAAATCTTGATTTAACCTTCAATACCAAAGGGCCTCATTCGCAACAATTCTCACTTTCTTTCAACATCTTGAATCATGAATGACATGCAATCGAGAGACGTAACTCATCAAAGTCCAGTTCTCAAAGTCCTTTTCATCGTGAGCCATTTGATCCCCTAAATTGATCTTTGAATGAAGGAGCAAGAAAACTCATTATCGCCACTGATCCATTGTGTAATAGTTTAGTCGAATTCTAAATTCTATCACATTTTCAAAGTCAGTACCATTTAGTATAATCCAAAGTAAATTTCAAATAATCATCAATATCATCCTAATGTACCAAAAAAATAGGACTATTTCATGTATATGTGACATGAGTTGGATGTATTCATAATTAACCCTATATATAAATATGAGGTGTAGAATCTAAGTGTAACACATTTCTTATTATAAGCATCCAACCATTTATTTTCAAGGCTTACTAAAAGTATTCCGAATAGAAAAGGAAAATTATTCATATTGAGTGGAATAATTTCATAAGTGATATAATATTAATACGAGATCAATGTATTATCATACATAGAAGTCATAAAAGTATGGAAGCACGAACTAGTCACAAGTTTTTTAGAATAAATTTTCAAGTTATTAAATAATAGACATCAAAAGCATATAACAATCATTGAGTTCATAACCACATGAGCAATTAATAGAGGAATCTGGAACCTTGGATTTAATTACATGCACATTTATTTTTCTTTATCTTGAATAAAACAAGAGTGAACTGAAATTGTTTATGGGATTGATATTGCATTAATATTTGTTTGGATATATTATGGCATACACATTATATATTACAAGAAATATTATATAAACACGAACCTTAGTGATGATTTCTCTTTCACTATCTTGTCTCCTTTCACTACTGCCTTTGAAGTTTCATTCTTGTCCATTGTATTTCTTTCTGAAGCTTCAATCACCTCTACGAAGTTGGAGATTGGAACTTCATAAAGAAAACAAAGGATAAGCAAGAAACTTCGAAGGCAGTAGCGAAAGAAGGCAAGATAGTGGAAGAGAAAACTTAGTAACATCACTAAGGTTTGTGATTATTAGTTTTTGTAAATATATAATGTTTATGACATAATATCTAAATCATTGACCCAAACAAACATTCATGCAACATCAACCTTATAAACAACTTCAGTTCAATCTTGTTTTATTCAAAATAAAGAAAAATAAATGTGTATGTACAACCCCAATGTTCTTATTTCCTCTAATAATTGTTCATGTGGTTATGAACTCAATGATTACTATATGCTTTTGATGTCTATTATTTAATAACTTGAAAATATATTCTAAAAAACTTGTGACTAGTTTGTGCTTCCATACCTTTATGATTTCTATAAATGATGATACAATGGTCTCATATTGATTTTATATCACTTCTAGAATTATTTCACTCAATATGAATAGTTTGTCTTTCCTATTCGGAATACTTTTAGTAAGCCTTGGAAATAAATGGTTGTATGCTTATAATGAGAAATGTGTTACACTTACACCCCACACCTCACATGCACATATATTGTTCATTAGGATTACATTCAACTCATGTCACAAATACGTGAAATATTCCTATTTTTTGGTACATATAAAACGGTATTGATGATTATTTTAAATTTATTTTTGATTAGACTAAATGGCACTGATTACAAAAATCTAATAAGATTTAGGATTCGACCGGACTAGATCGATGACAATAATGAGTTTTTTTTTTTCTCCAAGATCGATTTACGGGGATCAAATAGCTCATGATGATGAGCACTATGAGAACTGGACTTTGCTGAGATATGTCTCTCGATTGCATAATGCAAGCAAACTATTCATGATTTCAAAATGTTGAAAAAAGTTGAGAATTGTTGCGAATACGACATTTTGGTATTAAAGGCTAAATCAAGAAATTTTGCACATACAATAAAGAAAAATGGAGCTGAAGTTGTCGTGTTCGACTTTGTTGTCGAGCAAGGTATTCATTTTGCCACTTGGCTGGAGAAGCGATGTTAAGTTTTTCACCAAAATGAGAAAAACCAGACAAAGATAGAGGTGGAAATTTATAAGCAAGACTTCAAACGAATTTTTCGAAAAACATTTTAGTGTGTTGTTAGTTTCATAAACTTATCGTTGATATTGATATTTCATATATTAATACTTTGTTTATTATTTGTTATTTTTTTGTTGTGGTGTTATTAGAGCCTGTGATGGGGTATTTTATCTATAATTCCCAAGCCAAAATCAAGCCATGTGCAAAAAGTGCGTATTTTAGTGCGTATTTTGTAGTATGAGGAAAGGAAAAAGAAACAGACATACATAAGATAGACATACATAAGATGTTAATTATCTTAGAGAGATTGTATACAATGTCATTGTATAACCTTCCGAAGTAGTTGCTACCCAAATTGATTCAACAGTGATGACTAAGACAAGCGAATACGAAGATGAATATTCGTTGGATGAGGAGATGAAATCCTTTTTTTTCCTGCTAATGAATGTTTTTGTTTGTCTATCTTTCAAATGAACTTTAAGCTCTCACTTATTATCATTTGTAATGTCATTGATTTATTTTCATAATATATTTAGTTTGTCACAAGTCGGTTATAACATTCGACTCTTTGATCGATTTCTGTTCTTCTGAACCGTAGAAGAACGTGACTTTTTGGGTAAATTGCGCCAAACCCCTCTGTATTATACGAAATTTGTGTCTTATCCCCCTGTATTTTAAAAAATGCGTCATACACCCTTGTATTATATTTTTTATTGCGCGTTATCCCCTAAAAATGCGTCATACCCCCTTGTATTATACGAGTTTAGGAGATAACGCGCAATCAAAAGTATAATACAAGGGGGTATGACGCATTTTTTAAAATACAGGGGGATAAGACGTAGATTTCGTATAATACAGGGGGTTTTGGCGCAATTTACCCGTGACTTTTTTATTCAAAGTCAGTGAACTTGTGAAGAGGTTATTGTATCCCTTGTATGCCATTGACATAGTAGTTAATAAGTAATGCAAAATGGGGAGAACCAATTAAAAATTTGAAAGTCGTCTAGAGATGGAGAAGACGCTGCTCTTTATGCCATATTTGCTAGATCTCCATATGTGGCGATCGTAGCTTCTTGGGCTCCAAAGGGTATTGTGCTCGTCCTTTGTACGTGGTTCGGCCCAATCCGACCCATACTTTTGGGGTGCAACATCCCTCAATATAAAATCAATATTCGTGATTGTATGTTGTTTCGCCATTAGTTTTTCATCATATATTTTTAATAGTTACACATGACTACCTTATATATATGTGATTGAGGAATTGCTTGTAACTCAGGAATTGCTTGATGAGTTACATGGTGCGGCCAAT